CTTATATCTTAAAAAACGTCAATAGTTTAGAAAGTACAGTACAATTTAATAAAAGTCATTATTTAATAAAGCAAACTTTCATTTATTTATAGTTCACAAGTCACGGCAGTCACATAGTGACTGCGCAAGGTTGCTAGTTTCAATCATATTAATAATTTTTTTTTAGAGTGGTAACCCGAGTCCTATGATGGGAAGTATCAGTCCCAACTCGACGAAAATTTACTACGATCGTCTTAATGAATTAGCAGATTGGGTATATAATCACAAAGAGTATTTGGACATCAATAATCATGATATTGTTAATCTTATGACAGAGTAAATTTATAGATATTTTTAATTTTTATAATTTATATTCATAAATTAAGGATTAATTAATAAAGATTGTCTATTCATAGGCGGGAAATCTTCATACCTTCAGTAACTGACCCGAAAGTTTCTAAAATCGGTAATAAGTATACCAATTTTTTTGAAATTAAATATTAATTATAATTAAATATTTGCCATGTAATTATTGTCAACAGAAACATTGAGTGATCACAGAATTTGTGATGACGACGGGCCATCTATTATTGCTTCGTGTCATGTAAATTTCCAAAGCGGCCATGGTATCCTTCTGTCTCATTTTTTCTATCTGTAAGTTGTTATATTTATTATTATTATTATTATTATTATTATTATTAATAAAAAACAATTATTTAATTAATATTACGTAACAGATTAACTTCCTGGACTTTTGGACACTCTATCGCACATGATTGTTCGAATGTTCTCGTCTACAAAATAGAGACCAATTTTAATCCGCCATACTGGCCTACTTGCATTATCAAGGAATACGCAAAATACTTCAAGTAAAATATAATTATATAATTTCATTAAAATTATATATATAAGATAATCATATATACACAGAAAAAAAAGTTCACTTGAGCCAACAAAATATTTTTCTTCCTAATTGTTTTCTTGAGCAAAAAAAATTTTTTTTCTGTGTATATATCATAATATTTATCATTATTTTTTTAGTCATTAATTAACTACAATTTTATTTTTTTTTTTTTTTTAGGACCGAAGCCTGTTTATCTCTCAACAGACTTTAATTTTAAATAATAAATATTATACACATTAAATGTTATAAAAAAAAATATTAAATATTTTTTTTTTGGAAATACAGTAATTAAATTTGTTAAATAATATAGATTTTTTGTTTTAATTTGTCTTATCATTGCCAATTAAGTAATTAAGAAACTAATGATAGTGTCCTAGATTATTAAGTGTTACTCAATAATTAAAAAAAAATTTTTAATAGCTTTGTTTTTCGAGCAATTAGAAATAGTTATTGTTATTGAGCGTGTTCAGCCGAACTAAGTCCTGAGTAAACTTAGTAAGATATGTATAGTATAGTAGATAGATATATGTATAGCAGGGAATGCTTTGACTATACTTAGGCTAACTAAGTTTACTCAGGACTTAGTTCGGCTGAACAAGCTCATTATAGCCACTGTTGC